GCCATTATTTAATGAAGTGACTATTACAGTGTGAAACGAAAATTATAGCTACTTCATTTTCAATTTTAACTGATTTCATTCTAAAGATAGATTTTTCAAGACCAACGTGCCCTGCAATGTACCTTAAAGTAAACATTGAAACGTATTTTGTCTTGATTATCTGAGAAATAGATACGTAGTATTGAATAGTGCAAACGTGTATTTTGCACTATTTTTAGGGACAGGGTGTACAAGTTGCATGAAACAGTGTGGACCAAAATAGCACGTAAATAATTCTATAAATCAATAAATTCTATATTATATTCTATTTCTGTAAATCAATAAATTTATATAAAAATTTAAGGGTGCAGCCATTAAATTTTCTATAAAAGTCGGAACGAACTTTCTTCTCGAACCTCTGAACGATAATTACATAAATTCTTGTAATACCTATTCAAAGTCTTCTACTCGTATCTGTCCTTCCTCAATTTCTATACTCTTTTCTGTATTGCTTAACACTAATAAATAATAATAACTGTTGCAGCGCGTTAGGTAATGTGGATTCGAATGACCTTTTCGGATCCCTCCAGAAAGCTTTGGATGAGAGTGGGATTAAATGGAAACAGCCCGTGCAAGTTATAATGCATAACTGGGTGGAATATCCGGGATATCCAACGTTGACAGTTAAGAGAGTCGATAGGGGCTACGAATTGACACAGGAACGTTTTGTGATCGAGCTGATGATGAAAGTCAAGGAGTACCCTACCAAGTGGTGGATACCAATCACTTATGTCGAGGAATCGAATCCAGATTTCAATAACACGACTCCCATCGATTGGTTCTCTCCGGACGATAAATCACATACCGTGCCATCTAAGGAAAAAACAGGATGGTTTGTTTTTAACACGCAGCAAACAGGTATGTTGCCTAGTTTTTATAAAACATTCGAAATGAATAATTAAGAGTTGACATTTAATTTTTAATCGTATGCTCAAGAGTTTCAATGTAAGAATTGAATATTTATATAATCCGACGAATAAAACTTTTTCCATTTCTTGCAATATCCATATTAAAGAATAAGTTTGATGTTCATTCGTGAATTAGGCTTAAAGTCGAATATTGCTGAACCGAGATCAGATGGATCCGACAATCGTTGTTCGCAACGCGATTACGTAATCTTCGTTTCACCTCTTTTCTGGTAACTTATATTACGTTCCCAGTCTCATGTATAACACCAAATCGTACATGCGTAAATCTGTTCTAGTTTATCGAAGACTTTATATTCATAGAAGCTCATCTATCATTTTCTCAACAAAGATCATGGGTCCAGATCGCTTTTGCTGTGTGTGAAAGTGCTGGTATTAACTCTAGAGTTAATTAAAGATTGCGGGCGCGAAGAAAAGTTTTTCGCGAACGGAACTGAAAGTGTGGTGGCGCGGCCATTAATGAACGAACACGTGTACCGGTATTTGGTGGTGATCCCTTACTTAGTGTATCAATCACGGGAGACGACATCTGGGCTCGTGGAGTCAAAAAATTTGATGGAACTAATTTCCAAGCCTGGAGATTCCAGCTTATGTAATTATTTTATGTTAACGGCATTCAAGATGTAGATGGAACGAGGCAAAGGCCAAATCCTGGGACGGTTGATGAGAAACCATGGGTGCGTGAGAACGCAAAAACAATGTTTGTCATATCGTCATCAATGGAAGCAAAGAAATTAGATCCTATTCTGGTTTGTACCACTGCGAAAGAAATGTAGACGAAGCTGTGCATGCTTCATGAGCAGAAGTCGGAAGCCAACAAGATGGTGCTCTTGCAAAAATTTCATGAGTACCGAATGTCATCTGAAGATAGGATGGAACAGCACATAGCAGCAGTGCAGAATATGACTGCTATTTTGCGGGATGTTGGCGAACAGATATCCGACAGTGCGGTGGCAGCAAATCTGCTAGCCAGCTTGTCGCCTAGATATGGAATTTTTAGAACAGCATGGGATAGTGTCGATCCAGCGAGACAGACACTTGGGAATTTGACTTCAAGATTAGTTGCGGAAGATCTCCGACTGAATTCAGAAAATCAAGAAGGGAAAATAGCTCTAGTTGTGTCCAAACAGGATCAATCAAAGAAGTCTGAAATTCAGAAGAATAGTTCTAAGAAATAGAAGGCGAAGAAGAATGTTACGTGTTACAAGTGTCATGAAAAAGGACAATTCGCGTGTGAATATCCTGAGAAGTGCGGGAAAGAAAAGAACGTCGTGAAAGACATATGTGATAGTGCGTTCATTTGCGTTTTGGTCATAGTGCGTTCAATATGTGGACCGATGGACACTGAATCACTTGGAGGATCAAGATATTTTCTGACCTTCAAGGATGATTCGACTGGGTTCAGGTATATACATATACAGGTAACCCTCCTATAACACGGTAGATAGGTTCCTAGAAAATGCCGTGTTGTGTGAAACCGTGTTGTATGAGACCC